TGCCCATGCGAACCAGAGGACAAAACTTGCAATCAGTTATTCTTAACAAACATGTTACTGTAAAGTAGCGAGCAGTATGTTTTTTAAGCGGTTTTGAAATCTCGCTCGTAATTTTCATTTTCTTGCTCAGGTTTTTTGCAATTCTTTTGACTGTCGAATAAGACAAATTGAGTGTCTCGCCTATCCCCTTCAGAGGGATTTCGAGCTTAATATTGAATATTCAAAAGATGGATTTAAATGGTACCCCACATCGCTTCGTGTCACATATAAAACTTCCGAGTAAAACACATTGCAATGCAGCAATTGGACTGAAAACAGGGGGCAAGCTATGAACGGCAGCACAAAAAAATTTCTCAGATGCCAGCAGCAGCATCAATGTTGCTCAAGACTGAAGAAAAATCAATAACACTAATCTAATTGATGTACGATTCATGCCAAACAGCTTGAAGTTTAAGTCGCATTGCAGAATATTAGAAGCAAAAACTCACCACCATGGGTCAAGAACCTTGCGCCCTGCAGACCTTCCATGATGCTCAACTCCTCGCAAGTATTTGCCTCCAAATCACACTGGTAGACGGCACACTGGTCTGCTACTGTCGATTCTCCAAAGACGAGAACACAGGTCGCAAGACTTGCTGGTCGAGGACTATTATTGAAGGGGCATTGTTCCTGATTGCTTACGCTCGAATATCCTATCCAATGATCCGCAAGACCTACACATTTTCTGACAGTTGAGGAAAAATCAGAACAAACACATGTGCATACATGCAATCTGCGCTGCTGGCGACGACATCGTCACTCTCGATCAGATTTCGCCTAAAGTTGTGCTTCGTTTGACTCCATCGAACCTCCTTCAGCATCTCCGGTGCATGAATTATCCTATCCTTATCCACAGTGCCGGTTGGACAGACCCATGTTTTAATCGCCTCGAAAACCTTTTCTTCACTGTCCGCTTGTAAGTCGTCGTCTCGCAAAATAGAAAGGACCACGTCTGCAGGAAGTTCCAGGAAAAGGGCGCTCGCAACGGAGGACTCAAAAAAAGTCTTCATGTGCTGCACACAAGCTGCTCGAAGACCTGTACAGTTCGCGGCTGCCGCAAACTCCCAGCATTCCGAGAGGTTATTATTCTCAAGTCTTTGGCAGTTAATAATTCTTAGGTGAGCAAAGCAGGCTACCTGGCAGATAAAAATGTAACACTCCAATTTTCCACACGGGGGAGCGACAACTGTTTTGCCAACAAAATCATGTTCATCGCATTTGTACAGGTGATTTCAATCCGTCCTGTGTACAGGTAGTCTATGAGTGTAGATGCAGATCTATGAAAAATCATTAGGAGGCGAAGCGACTCTACTCAATGGAAACCGTTGGCCATTGAAGAGTCGAAGTCTTCTTCGTCACTACTCGACGTAAGAAAGGAATCCTGGAGGCCAAAATAAGTCGATGCACATGCAGAAAATTGTCTTCCTTTAACTATGAACGTTTTAGTGAGAAGAAGGAACTTGCCTGAATAGTAAGGTCGGTTAACTCGCGTGCAATACGAAGTTCGTCTAGTTCAGGACAGCTTCGGACAAGCGGAAATTCATCTTCAAACACTTGCACCTCGGGATTGGCCATCACAGACTGATCCTGCAAAACAAAATTTAATGATATCATTTCGTCGGTAAAAATAGCATAGTCTAAAAAAGTGGTTCTGGTGGTCAGAAGCCATGACCATAAGTGTAGGAGACCGAAAAAGTGTTACTACACACGTAATAAGAAGTGAGTGATAAAGCAGACTGCCTGATACTATGAAAAACGCAACTAGGTGAGAATTCGGACTGCCTGTAGCCATTGCTCGGAAGATAACAGCAAGCGAGAGAACACGGCCGACAGACGGGCAAGGAGTCGATAGTCGTAAAGTCAAAATTAGGCATACATTTGCTAAGACTTTGAAGCAAACATAACCGATGTGATGCCAATTACGAACCCGACATAAATCCAGGTACGATCGAAAGGAAATTATACGCTTCAGTTTATTTTGGTAGAAGTTCTTTGGGAAACGTAAACAAACGCTGTTGTAAATTCTCCGGCACACCAGGTCGTCGCCGGACGTTTGGGAGCGAATCGGACCAGCGCAAACGAGTCATTTCCGAGACGTAGGGATCATAACACAGGTACGAAGAAATAATTCATAAGAAAGGGAGCAAATGTAACAGAAGTATGTGGATGGCAAATTAACTGAAGTTAAGCAAAAAGACTCTAGAGTCAAGCACATCTGTCATGAGGCCTGGGTCACTTTACACCCTGTGGACGCCAAATAGGATGTTAAACAGGACCAACATCTTCAACTCCCAGTGGGAGTTAGAAAACATGCTGAAATTAGAATGTCCAGAACGCATACCACAGGAAGGTATGCAGGTCCGTGCCATATAGGACAGGTCTTCGCAGAGGCCCGGCTTGGGCAGTGCTGTGTAAGAACGCCCACTGGATAACTGCCTGCCATGAGGAACCGCTGATGCAACAACAACGACTGTGTCATGTCCGACGCAAGCAGGCTTTCCGAATCCAGCATCTAAGATTTTTTGACCGCGAATGACTGCACGATAAATACGACACAAAAGGACATACCGTGGAGTTTTGACTTATTTGACTCAGGCTGCCTAAACTTCGGGCTGACATTGTCCTGCGCTAACCAGTACCACGTGGCAGTGCAAACCACCCGCATTAGTGGGTAATTTCGACTACCCATGGAGATAAAATACCAACATCAATGATGAAACTATCTACCAACCATTCAAAACCAATTTTCAGTCGGCTACAGCACATTTCCTGGAACCATCGCGACATCCTACTTACCACCCAATCACGAGTTTGTAAAGAAATTGCTCTGACAAGACAACTCTACACAGCGAAGACGCAGACAGCAAACAAAATTTCGGTCAGAAAACACAGACCGGCCTTACTGTGAGCTCCGGGTTCAGTCATCATTTGGCAACTTCTAAATCACGGCGTTTAGCGCAACGTAATAAGCGCAGGCTCGAACCACACGCAGCATGCGAACCGTATGGAGAAGGAGCCCAGAAACAAACTTGTCACTTAGGTTAGAAGTACCCATGGCGTGCTTGCGTTGTGCGATGTCGAACGTGGTCATCTTTGACGTGAATGCTAGTGAGAGATATGGTATGATCGTTAGTGTTCTACCGTAGCTCATGGAAGTGCACATAGTCTGATTGACCCATAAAGTCAGTGATTTTGTGTGGGCAATGCAGATGGGTTGTGGTGGGTGCGGGGAATGTATTTTAATGCTCCCGGCAACCGTTCATCAGCCTCTGTCAGATATATTCGCTGGTTGAATATACACAGTAGAGGCTAGGCGGTGTGTGCCATTAGAGGATGGGCTTTTTGACTGTCGGTCTGCAAAATTCTCCTTCTCGGTCATTTTGACCTGTACAGCCCTATGATGGCGTTCATAACCCTATCACGACGCCCCTGTAGACATGGCTTGCAAGCCTAATTCGTGACCGAAAGACTAAGTTCCAGACTGTAATGGCTCCAAGTCCACCTCTGTTCAACTAGCGATGGAAGTCCAGTGGGTGTAGGAGATAGTTAAGCAGGAGCAACGAACTTCCGTTTCACGCACAAATCATTCTTCTGCCCATCTTTTCCGGCAAAGGTGGACGTCGTCATTCGCGATGGTCAAACTAGCATGTGGGTTCATAGGTGCTAAATCTTACTTAAGTCTTATAAAAACATGCAAGGCTGTATGCATTTCGCGGCTTGGTCTTTTTTACCCATTCTTTGATGAACTATGCCAATGCTGAAGGGGATAACTCGTCTAGATACACCGTTTACAGTGCCTATATTATTGACCCTTGCTAAAGTACAGCCCACGCGTGAGGTTTGCATAGTATTCGGAACTAAATCTTAACTGTTGTGAATATAATTAGGATTGCGGTGAAAAAAAACTTACAATCGCACCCCATAGCATTTGTTAGCACTTATATAAGAGCCAGGTACTGTTGAGTTAACTCGGTATTCTGTCTGACCTGGCAGCCCTACATCAATTTCGTGGACTGTCTCGACGCTTGCGTGGATGCCCGTGAAGGTGCTCTTATTCTTAACACGGGCAGTTCGATTCCCTACATCAGGAGCGTTTCTGCCGCTAAACGGCTCATTGTGTGAGCGGACGCCATCGGAACGTGCATGGTTCAACACAAAATTGAGGACCTCGAATAGGCCTGCACGACCAAAGCCTCCTTCTTCAACGTGTGCGCTATCGTTTTATGAAGAAAATGTGTTCAGGGCGGTTACCCTAAAAGACAGCGCCCAAGTGCTTATGACGAAGAAATATTAGAAATGTGTTCACTGCGTCACTCTATTGTCATAAATTTGCTCGTAGCGGAAGCACATGTATTTAGCTTAACCACTTAGTTAACAGATGAAAGAAGGAACCGAATCCCTTTTAGAAGTTCACACGTTAACTGTAGTACAACCTGTCTTATATGGCCCTATAGGTTTTACTGACAGATATTTAGTGCGAACTCTCCGATAACATCAAACTTCGTAGGTTTAGTGCCAAACTAGCCTAAAAAATTATGTATTGTTAAGTTTTTTTACCTGATTGGCCGACGGTGTTCAGACCGCCCACTCCATTGAATCTTACTGACTCTACTTCAAAGACTCCACTCAATGAATACCAAAAATGTAGTCGTTCATGGATGAGTCACTGAGTAATGACAAGTTAAGGAAGTTAATTAACTTACTTGACAAAACTTCCATCTATAATTCTACTATTATACAATAACACTTTTTATCTTTTTATATTCATAATAAAGCCTTCATACTATAAAGTCTTCGAAAAGTTCATTTACTACTGGGTTTTGTAA